ACAAGTGGGCCTTCAGGATCTCAACACTCCTCCTTGAACTCTGAGTCCCTTCGGGATTCAAGTTCACCTAAATGCCCGTCCGAGAAGCTGCCTGCAAGCAATACCTACAGAAGGTCCTACGCTGGGTTTGGGCTACTCCTCGAAGGGCATGACAAGTAGGAAAAAGATGCACTGCTCCAGGTGTACGACTACTTGTAGTTACAACTTGGAGCCTACCTAATTCTTCATGAGAAAGTCCTCTCGACTCCTCAGTCTGTACGGCAATCTCCCGAGTACTCGGTGAATCAACCCCCAAACCTCTATGCGGGACTGAGAGTCTCGACGCCGGTCCCTCAAGGGAGACACTGCCTGATGGTTCTTGAAATCCAAGATGAGATGTAACGGAAGGAGCTGTAAATCCATGACGTGGTGCTGAAGAAGGGGCCTTAAATCCAGGAGCCTGCGGTGGTGGAGGTGGAGGAACCAACGCTCCGTAGTTAGGAGTAGAAGCCAGCACAGAATACCTTGGAGACTCTCGGATCTCCGGTGCAGTCGGCCTAGCATCTACATACACTAGGGGTGATGGAGGGGCCTCAGGCACTGCAGACGAAGACGACGACTCGTCTACATTCCTCCTCCTCAAACCTGGAACCTCCCTATCAATAGCCCTTCTAACAGCATCTTGTCTCCGCGCCCTACGGCTACTTACAGGGGTATTATCTTCTTCCGGCCTAACGGACTGAACACTTGCAACCGAGGGCCTAAGACAAACCCTAAGGCATTGCTTCCCTGTTTCCCATATGAAGAGTATAGATAAAACCAACATCAGCACAAGAGCACTCAACTCAAGACTCAAGGGTTCATCCACAGAGGATTCATCAGCAGCCTCATTCTCAAAGAACTGCAAGAGAAGGATCAAGGTCATCAGAACTCCACCAACAGCACCACCGTTTGCACCCGCACCGGCAGCTCGGGGACTCACAGGGTCCCGAGCAGCAACTGCAGCTACGTGTCCTAGGGTCCTAGCGGGTCCTAAACCCACTAAACCACTTAGGGTTTGGTGTCTTGGGGGAGGCAAAACCTTTGTCAGGCCATCTGCAAGCTGCACGTCGCCTGGACAGTGTACAACTTCAAGCTCTTTTCGGTCATTCAAGTCTTTAATGAAGTTGCCTCTTACTCTTAGGTGACGTGTGCGCAGAGAGCCACCACCTTCAGCAATAGTGATAGCCGCTACATTATCCACTAGCAAAAGCATAGGACCCAAGCCTGTAGTAAACTCACCTACCAAAGCCTGGACACTCTGTCCTAAAACCGTTCCCTCACAGGCAGCAACAAGCTCAGCTTCAGCCGTAGACAAAGAGACAATCGTTTGTCTCTTCCCCTTCCATAGTACCACCTTGCCCAAGTACATGATCAACACTCCTGTGACTGAAAAACTGCCATACGGAGAGAATGAAGCATCTGTGTATACCTTGATCCGCCTTTCAGCATCTGGCTCCGGTGTCAACGAGAGGCGGTGTTCACTGGTGGATCCAAGATATTCCAAAATCCTAAGACCCATCTTAACAACCAGCCCTGGCGAACGTGTACACCATGATCCCATCAAGGCCACTGGATAGGCGATGTCAATCCTAGATCTCTGCGAGATCCATAGTAATTCACCTGTCACCTTCTGAGCCCGACGAAGGGTGTCTGGATCATAGGCCTCCTCCTCCGGAAGTTCTTTGACCCACTCACGCGGCAGCGGACTGGCTCGTACCCTTGCAGGAAGTTGATAAGATCGCATCAACTCATCCACATATCCCTTTTGTGACAAGGCAAAGCCCTTCGCTCCAGACTCTGTGGTCTCCACATGAATTTCCACTCCAAGGAATGTGATTGGATCATCGGGCGAAGCGGCCTGCAGGGGAGTACACTCCCAAGTACTTCGAATCCAAGCATAGGCAAGTTCAGCGTCCTTCGGACTGGCCAGAATCATCAGGTCATCTACGTAGACGATTGCGTACCCGACCGTCTGATTGGAATCTGTAACCAGTGTCCAAAGATTGCTCTCGATGCTGGATTGTACGAGGCGAACAGTACCGTGGTCCGTCTGCCAGCGCGCTCCACTCAAGACTGCGTTTCTGTGGTCCTGCCACCAACGTGGCGACTGACGTAGGCCATAAATGGCCCGCTCCACGTACCATAGTTCCCCAGGCTGGGTAATCTCAAGCAATTCAAGAATTCGCGGCGGGCGAAGGAGAATGCGAACCTTTTCAGATTCTGGAATCGACGCCAGGAGAAAGGCATTTTTTACATCAGTGATGTAAGCTCCGTAGCTCCGCGCCGATGCTTCAATGAGACACGCTCGAAGGACATCCGCGGGAATACCGCTTGCATAAACATCAGTGACAGCATCCCTGGCTTCGAAGTTCCCGCATGCTACAACACGGCATTTGCGTCTGAACAGATCCTTACCGGACCCGGGCTTAACCGTGAAAACCGTCTTGGCAGGGAGAATTTGCGTACCAGGCATCCTTGACTCTCGCACCGCTTCCTCTCCAACCAACCGGCGAATTCCCTTCATGCCTTCCAAGGCATTCACTTCAGACAAGGCCGCCTGATGCCACTTTGAAAGATGATTCTTGACTTCTGAAGGTGCAACATTGTGTACCACCCTTAGAGAGGATGTCAATCCCTCCAAGATAGACTCAACGTCAGGAGTGTACATGTCCTCCTCAACGCGTTTAGCCTCTGGCGTGAAGTGTACCTCTGAAGAGCCTCTCACATAGGCACGCTCCCTGAACACTGCAATTGGATCTCCGGTAGGTACTCCTATGCCTGGGTCAGGCGAGGACGGTCTTCCAGGAAACTCACTTGTACCCTGACCTGAATTCGAGACCTCCAACATCCTACACCCGAAGTGCTCATGGACTGATGACTGTGATGACTCCTCAAAGAGATCTGATGGAATCTCAGCGGGACCAAAACCAACCTCAACCCCAGTTGGGATTACTGGGTTCGTCTCAAGCGCGTCAGCGGCAACCTGCAAAGGAGGCAAATCACACTCCTCCTCAGACTCCTCGTCCCAAATCCGCTGCAATCTCAACATCTCAAGTGCATGTGGACCATATCCCTCATCGGGCTGTGAGCCGTAATTTGGAATACAAGTTGAACCACTAGCAACTTCATCATGAGCCTGTGAATGAGATGACTCCTCAAAGAGATCTAGAGCAAACGGAATCTCAGGGGGACGATCGCTGCTACTACTAGGCTGTTGGACATCGTGTGTACCCTGAGGTGAGTGAGCTCCATACACGTTGTATGGATCATTCAGCTCAACCCAATCCTCATAGTAAGGATCCCTTTGATTTCTGCCATTGTCGCGACCTTCAGTTCTCACACCCAAGCCCGGAATCGGTGGAGGGGGATTCTTATATCCTAAAGTCCTATTCTGAAAGATCCATGGTATCTGGCGCTGCTGCCGGTCAAACAACCTAACCTCTCCCGTAGTGAGACCGCAGTTGTTCGGGTTATCAGGACGGTGGATACCAACAGGATGTATTCCAATGAAAGCCCGCCTTGCATCCTGCTCCGGAATCCCAAACTCAATCAGATCCTCTAGAAACAGGAATGTCAGGTCTTCGGGGGTTTCAATTCCCAAAGCCTTCAATTTCCCACACATCCACTCAACACCCCGTTCGCGCAAGAACCTTAACAGATCCTGGTTTTCAGTACTCAACTGAGGGAAACCTCCAGGATTACCATTGGTAAAATCCCAGCCTATGATGGGTGTGTTTGCATCTTCCTGCAGGTCACTTTCAAGTGGAGTGGGATACATGTCAACTGAAGCAGCTTCCCCTTGGCCATGTTCCGGGCTAGACTCGTTGCCACTCGAGCTTGAGTCCTCTTGCAGAACCATTCTGACCTTAGGAGTGACCTGCTCGCTACACCCAAAGGTGAACCCCAATCCTTCCAAGTTGACCCTAACAACCTCATCAATCTTACGCGAGCCAAGAGGTGTATAACCCACAATCACCCAATCCGGCGTCTTCTGGACTGCATGCGGTTTCCTGGCATCAAACACCGTGGCCTCGTTAGCCAGCGTCACACAACTCGGTGATTCCCAATCCGGTTCGGGTAAGACACCTTTCCGAACATCATCATCCGGATGAACCCACAGCCTAAGGATGCCAGGCACATGTACCAAATGATTGAGGGAGCCCCATTCATTACGAAAGTCCTTGTGTACAGGAACATCCGCAGCGCGCATGATCATGAGCGCGGTCCAGGAAGGAACAAGGCAATCCCCTTCCCCTTTTTTCAACCTACTCCTCAGAAAGCTATTCACATACCTAGTAAGGTTAGGGTTTTGATGCGTGAGCTTAGTCATGCCTCTAATGCCTCCGTGGCAATAGGCACCCGACACAATCCGATCATCAAACTCACCCCTGCGATCAGGCGTAGGCTGGACCGTCCCGATGACATGATCAACAATCTTCGCGAATGTTTCATTGTCAAACCCTTCCCGAATCATAGCAGAGATGGCCAAAGCCTCCGAATCGGTGGACTCATCATACCCAACAAAGCGAATCGAGGACTTACCGGTGACTCTCCTCAACGGGACGGAGAGAGACTCATGCTCCTCCTCATCCCCGAATAAGTCCAAATCGTCAGACTCCTCCTGGATAGGTGGGACCTTGGCTTCCTCTAAGGCACTTGGATCTATTACCCCAGAGCGGAAACCCTTTGAAGACACTAAGTTGCCATCCCCTGTGAGAAGCACATGTCCATCAGGAACCGAAATGTGAGGGGCCATATACCTGGTCATAATCCAGCGCGGTGAAAAATCCTTGATCGCTCCAGAGGGACGCTTTAGCTTATGGAGTACATCTTGCCCAAATGCAGGAAGTGAGGGCTCTCCATGAACCCGGCGATTATGCGACTCCACAGCCCATCTTGCAGCGAGAGGCCAAAACCTTACATCAATCTTGGACGACGTGATGAGAGTCTTAACCCTAGACTTAACCCAACCCACGGTCCGCTCGGCAAGACCGTTCGCCTTCTTGTCTGTTGGCAATGAATGCTGAACTCGCACTGAGTGTTCAGTCATCCAACGGTTAAGTCCAGAAGAAGTGAACTCAGTTCCCTGGTCACAATGAAGGATTTGAACAGGATACTTCTTATTGATGGAGAGTATCATACGCTGAATACCATTGGCAACATCTGCCCCGGTTTTGGATTTCAGCGCAACAAAGTAGCGCAACACCACCATGTCGACTGGCTTACTCAGCTCTTCCACCAACCGCTCAAACTCAACCTTATCGGAAGGAAGCTCCTTATCACCCCAATCCTCCAAGGATTCAGCAACCTCTAACCCTTCAGGCTCGTTCGATCCATCAACCGCTTGGGCTGATGCACTAGGCAAAATTCCATCATCATTTCGGAACAACTCAGAGTGAGACTCCAACTCAGGCTGAGGTCCCCCATCACGGTCATCGAATTCCCCATCATCCAGAACCGATGGTTCGTACTCATCCAAGTCTTCATCTAGAAGCACATCCGAAGGGAAAAGATCAGCCACCCCATGGGGATCCTGTGGTAGGGACGCTTGCACGACAACAGATCTAGGTACCCTGAAGGCACCCACCAGGCCGTATTTGACGTGCGGATTACCTGATACCGATTGCTCATCGCGACCATGCTCTCCCTTTGGAAGAGGACCGAATAAATCCACGGATAAACTGAAGGACTGAGGAAACTTCACACGGCGATGTTGAATCCCAAGCCCCGCTCCCTCGATGCAAAACCTACAGTCGCGTCGGTAAGGAACATGGCCATTTGCAATGTGCGCTCGCCACTCGGAGGCCTCATGAGGTTTCAATCCTCTTGGATTATCACTAACCCCATCCTTATCAGGTCCGGCAGATCCCACCACCTCAACCCGAGGATCCAAACCTTCATTACTACCCGAAGCATCCTGATGCCCCTTTGATGAAGCAGATTTCAAACCGTCAGATATAACCTTGTCAAGCTCATGACAAGGTGGACATGGCACTCGACCTCTGAGGGCTTGCACAACCTCAGACCTCAACCTCATTGTCCACCTGCCGCACGCCCTACTGTGACTCTGTCTACCATTACCCATAAACTCAAAGGACTCGGTAGCCAAATGTTGCAGTGGCAGGTTTGTGATCACGGACATTGGAACAATATGAATAAGTCCCTCTGATTTAGGAGTCTGAGGAACCTCAGCCATCCTGGACCAGGCAATCCACGCCTGTCTCAGGCCCTCGTCCCCAACCGGAAGGTTCGAACACCTAAAGTAGGGAACTCCCCGGCCCTTAGCAACGGATGCCACCGTCCAAAGAAACATGTCCTGTACCGCCAGTGGAGACTTGGCCTCAAAGGAAGACTTTGGTGGAGAGGCCAGTATCGCAGAAATACGTCCCGACGCAGCTGCCCACAGCAGCACTGACCAAACACCGTAATTCTTCAGCAGATTCCAACCCTTTCCACCCGCAGATAGCACATCCACCTGCAAAAGCTCAAAACCTTGTTCCTGGGTCCAAGCCTTGAGTGGATCATCACTCACCTCGGAGCCTGAACACAGATGCACCACCCAATGGTTAGATGCCAACAGGGCTCGGCGCTTGGCTCGCTTCAACGGGAGTCGCTTAAGGATCTGCTTACCGGCCGTCTCTGTCATACCAGGCAACTGCTCGGCTAGTTGAACCTTCAACTCCTCTGGAAGATCCCGGAGGTACGGTTGACAGAAGATAGCCCTCAAGGCATCACCCCTATCGCCCGAATCAATGTACCGTTGAACTGCCTCAGTGGGATTCAGTGGTTTATCCAAGGCATGCATGTGGCACTCAAGCTCCTGCAACTCCTCCTCAAACCTCCTCAACCTTATATCCTCCAGCTCGCGAATAAGGTCCAAGGCCTGAGATTCTTGGATATAAGGGCACGTATTCTTGGCTACACCGGTGCGCAAGACCCCATGTGCTGGATGCATCACACGCAATCCATTTTTCCTGGACCAGGTGATATTACACCCCAGACACTCTACTAGGGCACCCAGTGGGAGGATAGTTTGTGGCTTATCCCCTGAAGAACCCGTACCCTCATGTTCCGGGACCACCAGGGTTCCCCCACTTGTCCGAAGCCATTGGGTTCTGGCATCTCCAGCCAGCGTAACCGGAACGGGTTCCAAGTTCGTGAGCTCAGATGAGTAAGGTATGACGGCATGCGTTGCTCCACTATCGAGTAATGCCCGACACTCATTCTTATTCTTTTCAATCAAGTCCTGCGCAACAGAAAAGGCCTTGACCTCATAATCCCTGGCCATAGCTCTGATCCCCTCAAGCTGAGCACTAAGAGAAGCAAGGGTTACTGGTGTACCCTGCGTGGGTGGGGCCGTGGAAGAGCCTGCACCACTGCTGACTTGTGCATTAGATGAGGATGAATGCACCTGAGGAGGTACCGGAGATGCCTGAGGCGGTATGGGGACCGTCCCAGCGGGGTCCGGAGCAGGAATAGCTTGTTGCAATATCAACGCGGCATCTGCGAGCATCGACTTGATTTGCTGGTTGCTTGATGAAGGAGCTACAGGAGGCGGTGGAACCTCTGGTGCAGATTTAGGGGTACCGGACGGCTTCGGCGGGGCCTTAGGCTTCAGTTTATCGTCACCCTTCAATCCCGCCTTGCACTCCGAAGGTTTATGTCCCTTACCACCACAATTACGACACCGTTGCGACCGATCCTGTACCGGTATCAAGTCCCAGTTATGCGCAAAAGTACAATCCGCACCCTTCTTACATCCAGCATTACTCAAATAAAAGGAACACTGAGGCTTTCCCGATGACTGGCCCTCACTCTGAGCACCTGCCTTACCAGCACCCTTGGGATTTACCTTAGGCGGCTTGGGAGCCTTAGGGGAAGGAGCCGAAGTGCCTTCCTGGGCGTCAACACCTCGGACCTTTGCTGCAGAGCCCTGACTCGCCGCTTCACGCGACTTGTCCTTATCAGAATCACGTTCCTTAAAGACCCTATGATTAATCGCCTCTAGCTCACCCAGAAGCTGTGCATGCAGTTTCCCAACCTTCGTCTCGTCTGGGTTTGAATCGATCTGCAGATTGTGCCTTGTGAGATTGACTCTGAAGGCAATGTCAGGGTGAGAAGCGAGAACCGATTTGGCTATCTTACCTAACGCACGCACCTGGAGCGAACTGTCAGGAAGAGTACCACCCAACTCAGACATGCGCAGGCACCAACGCTTCCACTTACGCAACCCTTCAATAGTGTCTGCCACCGATGAACCCGAAGGAGGATCCTGAATGCTGCGCAACCCGATTTCACGTTCAGTCAATGAGCCTGGTGCATATATTACATACAAACGACAAACCAAGGCCAAAAGCCCTGTGACCCTCGAGGCGCTGACCTCATCTCTGATAGGAGACGGCAATGCAGCTAAGATCATGGTTTCTATTCGCCTTGCTACCCTAGCCCACTTAGGACGACAAAGATGATCAGAGGGAGTAGGTTTCGCTGTTAACCTTCCTAGAGCATCCAATCGCAAGTACGATGAGTACCAAATCCCAGCCTCCTGAAGAGTACAATCCCACAGTTCCTCAGAGGAATCACTTATGTCTGACAATGGTGGACGAGAAATATGCAACCAGTCAGAGAAGGCAAGACATGCCTCCGGTCCCAAGGGCGGTAGCTCTGGAAGAACTGTAACCCCAGGTCTAATCACTTCTGGTTTCTCCTTATCCCCTGACTTAGGAGAATTCCCAAGCTCTGAAACTAACCCCTGCAACTGAGCCATACCCGCAAGAACCACGCTAAGAGGATCAAGACTAGCCTCACCCATAGAACCCCGCGTATTTTGCTGAACCCCGGGATCTAAAGACCTACCCTCAACAACCGAACCATCATTGACCTGGGTTGCTGCGCCCCGCGGCGACTGCGGAAAGGATACCGCTGCTGGAGCTTTAGGCGGGCTGGGGCTAGGGTAATTAATCTGGGTTCCAGGAGGACTGGGACTTAGATGCATGGCCTGACTTCCAGAGATATTGGATCCTACTCCGGGTCCTACTTCAAGTCCTAACCTAGAACCTGGGTGGGGTCCTAAACCCGAAGGGGGCATCAGTTCAGGATGAACCGGAGGGCCATTGGTAATATGCACTGGAGGAGGCATTGGAGGGGATATCGAAGTAGGGACTCTTTCTACTGCATGGTTACTCTGGAAATCCACTAAGCTCTGAGGTGGAGGAGGCAGTGGTGGCGGGGTAGGCGGAGATGATCCCAAATCCAAGGATCTTTCAGCCCTCGCATAAAGGTTTCCCCCTAGGATAGACCCTATACTCTTACCAATCCACCCAAATCCAGGGATACCACCATGATTCACCGAGTCCGACCTAACATCCTGTACACTAGAATGCTGAGCTACCTCTACTCTATGCCTCAACTCAGAATTTTCAAGCGCAAGAGCTGCTAGCTGAGCCTTCATAAGTCTATTCTCATGCTCATGGGCCGCCATTACCTCAATCAGCTGACGACGAACTTCCGCCTGAATGTCACTTGACGTCTCTGAAGTTGCTGTTGGCTGAAGTGTATCCCCAGGTCCCTGAGGATAAAGATGAGGAGCAGCTGCATGTAAGGCTTGCAAGCGTTGCATCACTTGACCATCGAAAAGAGGTGTATTGGGAACCTGCCCCTCCGAAGGTACTTCCCTCCTGTCTTCCAAACTTGCAGAAGATCTTACAGAAGCATATTCGACACCATCGTTCGCGCTCGGAGAGATCATGGGCACATGTGGGCCAGAAGGACCAGCTACCATTCCCTCCACTAGAGGAAGTGATTGCACAGCCCTCATCACACCACTGAAGAACCCCGTTGCTCCTCTCTCCAAGGTCCGTTGTGTCTGTTGTACCTCAGTAACCACGACCTGAGCCGTAGCCAACTGTCCAGAAGGTTCAGTCCTAACAAGCCCAGATGATCCACTCACCTGACCCTGCTCTCGCCCCATCACGGGACGAACCTCATCATGGCCCGTAGCTCCGCCACCCTCAACAGGTGGAGCAACTGTCTCTCCATCCATGTTCTGTGAGCCCCTCATGGAAGGAGGAACACCGTTCATCACAGTGCCAGCTGCACCTTCTGCAGAAGCTGAAGCGCCAGTAGCGTTTGGGCGACTCATAACCTTTTGATTGCTTGGTAAGTCACTGGAGTTCGGATTGTCCTGCGAGTCGAAAGTGGCCATGCTAATCTTCTCCTGTATCGTTCCAACAGTCAGAGACAAGCCATCGGCGCACCTACTTTCTTCAACGTAGCTCAAGACAACGCAATGCTTCACATATGCGGAACATCCGATGAAGTTGTCCTCAGGACTAACCCATGTTCAACGTTCACATGGAGCTCTGCTCCATACATGCCTTCACGGCTACGGAGGACAACAAGTGAACTTCAACCTGACCCTAAACACAAGTGGGCCTTCAGGATCTCAACAAACCCCCCTAAACCCCCAAACCCTACACACTAACCTTAAACCCCCAACCCTAAACCCTAAACCCCAAACCCTAAATCCCTAAATCCATAAATCCATAAATCCCTAAATCCCTAAATCCCAAACCCTAAACCCTTGTAGTCACCAGAGCCCAGCTGAGGCAGTTCCTGCCCGAGGGGGACCCAGCCAGGCCCAAGAGTCGTTCCCCGGCTTGGTCTCCGAATGCGTTCCGGGGTTTGCCACTACTACGACGACGACGACGACGACTACTACTACTACTATTATTATTGTTACTACTACTACTACTACTATTATTATTGTTGCTACTACTACTACTACTACTACTACTATTACTACTACTACTACTACTACTACTACTATTACTACTACTACTACTACTACTACTACTACTATTACTACTTTTTTTATTATTGTTGCTACTACTACTACTACTACTACTACTGCTACTACTGCTACTCAACTCTTGCTCCTACTTATACAGCTACTACGGCGACCTGCCTAAAGCTTATGACCGAGGCGTTCAGTATCTCCTTCCTCCCATCTTTCTGCACGGCCTGTACAACTGGCTCTTGGGCTGCAGCGCGGGAGTTGCGACTTAATTCAGAAGCCTAAACTATTTGCAATGTTCTTCCTGTTATTCCTTTACAGTCTCTAATGCAATTCAGTACAAGGGAGCTACAGTAAAATCACCTGACGGCCTCTATCTGCATGGGAGCCGAGCTCATGACCGCTCAGAACTCGTCACCTGCGTCCAAAATCCTGGCCTGGAGGAGCCCCGCTTGGAGGTTCATGGGTAGTTATAAGTGGGGTTATAGGTCCCCCAATAGGGGTTATAATTATAGTTGCCCTACTTGTAAGCCTACTTATACGTACCCATGAACCTCCAAGCGGTACTGGGTTCTTGCTAAGTTTAAGTTTAAGTTTCCGTAGCCTGATAGTGACCTATACTATTTTGGGGCCTCCTTACTACAATTATAGTAAAAATAAATACTCCCGAAGCCCTATTCTAATTATTAATGCCTCTACGTCAAATCCCTTAGCAAGAACCCAGGATATCGGATTCAAGGCCCCGGATTCGAAGAAAGCTCATGCACCCAGGTGTTCGACCCTTCAGCGCTGTGAGGCCTACGAGGAGACATACCAGGCAAGGTTTGGGGCTTCTGGTTTAACATGACCGATCTTATACCTCAGAGCTCCTTATTTATGGCAGCAGCAATGAGATGAGATTTATTCATTGAGGGTTCGCCTGAAACATGCTCGCTCAAATCTAGATACGCGTCGAAGTGTGAACCGATTTGTTTCTTCGGCTTGCTTGTAGGATGCTATGCTAGAAGACTCCTAGCCCCTGTCCCGACTCACTTTTTGCGGCCGAGGGACAGCTTTACAAGAGTGATGGCTGCTACCTACCGCCAACATGGCGAATGGTTTTCAAAGCAGCGCACACCGTCCGGAGCCAAGATCAGGGCTGCAGCTGGCTGTGTCGATTCCCCGGGCATTCCTGCTCGTAGCTTCGAAGACAAGCGAAACATCATAATAAAGTGTCGTGTTCTTGTTGGGCTGCCGGTGCTTTTGCTGCTGTTGTCGTTGTTGTTGCTATTGCTCTCGCTCTTGCTCTCGCTGTTGCTGTTGCTAGTATTAGTCTTCTGCTTATTGTTCTTCTTATTACTGCTCCTGTTGCTGTTGTTGTTGTTGTTGTTGTTGTTGTTGTTGCTCTTGTTGTTGTTCTTGTTCTTGTTCTTCTTGTTGTTGTTGTTGTTGTTGTTGTCGTCGTCGTGCTGGTGGTGGTAGTATCAGTTTTAGGGGCTGTGGCAGTGGTATTGGCACTTCTGCTGGTACTGGTATTGGTACTCTTACTGGTGGTATGTGCTCTGCTCATTCGCACCGGCCTGGCTCAGCTTTGCACCAGCGCCGAAGAACGCGCTCCCGCAGCGTGCGCAGCACCAGGAAGCGGCCGACCTGGGCCCACTTCACCTGCGCAAACTGCAAAAGGGCGACCTCAGACTGTGAGGCAGAAGACTAGAAAGGCCGATCAGAAGGCCTGAGCGGCATCGGCGCCAGTGGTCCCGGGAATCGTGGCCGTGCCGCGCACAAGCGCCGCCACGGGAAGGGTTTCTGGGAGGCGGGCTCAAAGAATGAGGCTCTTGGTTGCAGACGAGCGAGAAGGGATCTTAAAGGCCAAGTGGCTCTCTTCCAAGAGCTCTGCCAACGCAGCCAGCTCCTCACAAGGCTGAAGCGGTGCTGGCAGAATCGCTTCAACATGAAGGAAACGTCTCCTGCACGCCCGTGAGGAGCCCAAGGTCAAGATCCAGTAAAGCCAGCAGCCCAGAAAGCTGGAGAAGGCCCACCTGCCCCACGACAATCCAAGGACCTCGAATTCTTGGAAGCGCCTTCAACCTTCCTGCTCGGTCAAGAGCCATGAGAGCCTCCTTTATTCAATTTGCAACCCTTTTTGCGACCGTTCCCCAACACCCCTCCTCCCGCCTTGTCGCCAAAGGATCTCGAAAGCTGATCGAAGGCCCTTGGCACGAGGAAGGCTGTTCATATCCCATGCGACAAATCCTTGTAAACCTTCTGCTTCGAGGTGAGTGGTCAAGTAGCTCAGAAAGCTAAAACAGACTGATTCTCCAGCGCATCCCGGGTTGGACACCGAGGAACCGTTCCGCACCACCGAAGCACCAGCAGACAGCTTCTGCAAGTGCCTTCGGACCTTCGAGGTGAAAGGCATGGCTGGGGGTCCTTTTGCACTGCGGCCCTGCAGTGCCTTGTTGGACACCCGAGCTCTCCAGATGCCGGAGCAAGGAGGCCCTGTGAAGCAGCTGCTCCTTGCCTGCCCACGGGTCGTCACTGCACACACTGCACTTGCCAAAACCCGGGCCGCTTGCCTCGTGCCGTCTGGTGCGCTGAGGCAAGCTCTGAGAGTTCAGTCTGCCAGACAGAGACTGGACGCAGGGCTCCTGCGCTTCTGCTTGTGAAATCGTGTGGACCACCGTTTTCCGGCTGGAGACGTCCTTGTCTAAGCGACTGGCGACCTCAGACAGCAGACCGAAGTGTGGTGACTCTCTGCCCTGCCATGTCTTTGGCCGAGCTCGTGGCTGGCGGTGGCCCGTTGCTGGGAGCGCTGCTCCTGAAACCACCAAACGTAGTCCTGAGACGACGAGCAGGGAGGTCTCAGGCGAGTGCCGTTGGACTTGGGTTGGTGTCCTCCCCATGGCTGCTCTCCCGGATTTCGTGGAAGGGGATCTCTACACTGCGTTCGCCCGTAAGCACGGGAAACCAGACCTTCGACACAGACAGGATACACTGGCGCAGACTCATGCGGGAAGAAAGGGCGGCCTCCCGTGGGCGTCGCGTTGGCAAGACCTTCGTCTCCGCATTGCTATAGGCTGGAGAATCCTGCAAAGTTTGAACGTCACGTCATGTCCCCAGCCTTGTTGACGCGTCTTACGGATCTTGCCAAAAGCCGACACGTTTCAGTTAATCCTTAAGAGATGCACTCGTCCTGAAACAGCCTGGATCCCGTCGCAGGTCGACTGGAAGAGGACGGGCTGCAGGCCTCAGCGAAAAGCCATGTTCATGGCAATTGTTCGAGCAAAAATATGCACAGTTTTGAACTTGAGAGATGCAAAGCATTTGACAACCGCCAGCATCCCGCCACCCCCTTCCTTCTACCGTCTACCAAAGTCTTCGACTCGCACTCGGAACTAGTACATCTCCAAAAACCACAAAATCTCTCAGTCCGAAAGGCTCTGAATGTGATGGGTCCGTCTTCTGCTTCTCTGGGAGACGCCGTCGACCGCGAATGCAGCGAATCGTCGACGGCCACTGCAGGTGTCGGAGTCGGTGTCCTTCCAGGGTGAAGATGCAACCAACGCCTGAGAAGATGTCCACTGCGATTCGATCTTGTGGTGGTGCCAGGAGAATGACTTCCCGCTTGCCTCATGTCTTTCTTTCGCCATGGTTGTGGGCTGGGGTTTCCCCCCTTGCCCACGTGCTTGTGCGCCCCCGACTGTTGCGGGTGCCGGTTGCATATGTTGCATGCATAACCGATGGAGTGCTCGCAGACAAAGGACACCAAGCATAACAGACAGCAAAGAAACACCTAGCCCATGCGTCACTTCATCAATCATTTGCAACGCGCCAAGATGTTTGAAGGACAGGTTTCAAGTTGAGTTCACAAGCAAGCGGGAAGCAAGGGCGCAAAAATCACTCTTGCTCAACTTGAAGGCCTGAAACAAAGGGGGTCACGTCTTCCTTAAGCCGAAAATGCATTGTGCGGTATGGCACAAAGCCTCATGTCTCTCTTTTCTTTCTGCAGGGCTAGGGGCGAG